GTGAATCTTCATACAGAAAAAAAAATATGTACATATGACAGGAAATGGATTTCAGAAAACACAAACCAAGACAACTATGACTATCTCCACAGGTCCTGAAACTGCAATGTTGTGGCAAGGAGTTATTTCAGAGATGTCTCAGAAGCAGATGGTCCTGCAGTTCAAAGTTCAGCACTCAGAGATGAGAAATAATGCTCTTTCCTGAAACTGCAATCCAGCAAACAACAAACAGTGGAAGAAACTGTTAGCCAGAAAAGGCAGGGATCAGGATTGCTGGCAATTCGCTGGATACCACCAAAAGCATTTAGCATAGATTTTTTCCTCATTAGTAGTACTGAGTTTATTAACTACATACACATATCTAAACTTCAAATCGTCATCACTTAGATTAACCTGGGAACTAAACAGCCAGATGTCAGCATCCCACACATCCATGCTTTTGGTTTACACAGCTCCTCGTGGTGGCAAGCTTTGCATAGCAAAACCTAAAAGAAACGGAGTCATCTCAGCTTGCTGTACTTCACCGTAATGTTTAATGAATACACAAATATTCTCTCCCCCCAAAAGGGAGAGATTTATACAACTGGGTTAAGTCCTGTCAGGATAAATTTAAGGAGCTCCAAGTGCTAGTTCATCTCTAAAAGCCATGCTGTGAGGCTCAACCCTCTCTCTCATATGAACCTAACTTCCATGACACTGCAAAGATCTGCTAGAAACACTCTCCCCCACAACCTTTATGAGGTAACTTCACTGCTTTACTGTTTGAGCTGCTCTCATCTTAATTGTAACAGTTTTTATTCCTGTGACAATAGGAAAAAAAATTGCCATTTTTTCATTATCTATTCTCAAGTCTATAACAGATGTGTTTACCTCTACCAGATTTCTTCTTGATAATTTTTCATCAGTAGAAATTGCATATGGAAAATAAACCCTTCCCCCCTTTCTCATTCCTGCATGCTTGAAATTATAATAGCAATATAACTAAACATCAAAACTACTAAATCAAAAAACTAAAATCAAAACAGCTGATGTGTTAAAATGAGCATATCTACACAACTATAATAATCATCAGTGAGGAGAGTAGGATTGCGCATAATGCAGCTGATGAAAACCTTGTTTATCTCTGCATAGCAATTCCTTCAGTATTTCTGAGTTAAGAAATATAGTTTGTTGGGGTTTTCAAACCCAAACTGCATAGTTTACACATTATAAACCCATGTTTACATTTTGTCCATATTGCATATATTAAAAGCAGAAGGTTGGGATGCTTCAATCAAGAAACTGTGGACAGTCATAAATGAGTACAGAAAACATGCATTACATCAAGAGATCCCAAGCACTGGTTATTTGTGCAATATCCCAACATCATCCATTAAGTTATCCATTTATATTGTTTGGCACTAGTATAAATGATAAAAGGCCTTTTATATTTACCATTATTTTAAAATGGTAAAGGACTGAAAAAATTCATGTAATGCTTTGAATATGAGAATGCTACTTGAGAGCTAGTATATAACATGTATTTTATAGAATGAAATTCACTGTACATTCACTTACAACTTTATCAATTCAACTCAAGATACACATCCATTTAAAACAAAAGTTATAAACCACATTTACACTAAGGTAATGTAAAAAGCTGGTATTTTAAACACTGAATGGAATACTCATTCCTATGGAATTTGAGATCATCTAGTGAAATGTGTCCTTCTGAGGTTTAGGGTATTTTTTTTAAGCAGCATGAGTAAGTTATTTTTGTACTTCTAGCATTACACAGAATACATATATCCTTCATATTATTTTAGCCCATGATCAGTTGGGTCTGCAACAGCAAATGTGTAATACACTGTTTTAGGAAATAACACAATAGTCAGAAGAGGAAAGAACAAACCCCTTTCCCACAGTTGCTGCATTATGTAGACTTCACACAGATGCATTAAAATTTGTAAATTATTATTTTATTATTATTGAAGAAAACAGGCATTCAACATGCTCCTCCAACACCTCTCCCACGTCAGAAATCCTCACAGGCATCACAAAAGACTTGAGAACACATCACTGAAAGTTTGAGAAATTATTTTGTCCCACTATTCCATTTCTACCTGGAATTTCATAGAAGACCACCAGTAGTTTTAAGTCACCTTTTTTTTTGCTACAGTAATACATATTCAGACTTGCTTAATACCAGTTTATTCCTCCTCATCTAGCAGCTGAGACTTGCCACAGCAGGGGCAATCTGGATGTTTTCAAAAACTAGAGATCAGACCAAAAACAGTAGTCAGACATCCTGCCTATCTCATACAATTACCAGGTGTAATAGAGAAGCCTTCTGCATCAAAAGGGAGTGTAAGAGAAGTGTAATAAATACTTCTAAGCCCAGGATTATTGTCCTGAAAGCTACTGAATAGGAAATACATTTCTACAAACTCACCATGTACACAAGCATGTAAAACACACACACTTGCCTAAATTACACAGTTTATTACTATTATTATTAGTGTTGATCAATTGTCACTAAAATTTTAATTCAGTATCCCCTCTACAATAAAAAACATTTAGGAGGAATGTGCATTATGCATTTATTTTGTAATAGTTAAGGGATTGATTCCTGACTGTCTTGCTGCATGTGAAGTATTCTCAACTTGCTTTCAGGCGATGAGCACCATCAAGGTAGGTGGTAGGTGCACACCCTGCAATATGTTATGGACTTTATTATCAATGAGTAAGGCACAGTTTTGGTAACATGGGTATTTCCACAAGCTTGCTCGTTCTGTCTTAAGCTTTACAAAGCATGAATTGTACCATCTTTGGGGTTGGTTTTTTCATTGCTTCATCCCTCAACCAACCAAAACACAAGAACTTTGGCAATGCTTCAGAGCAGTTAGTTTAAATCCCAGTTGATGTCCACCAACATGATACAAATTTTCAAATGCAATTTGGTAAAAACATTATTTTTAGAACTTTTGCACTTTGCCCCTCACACAATCAGCTTAAAATGGTGCTCTACTTTGCAAGATGTACAAATACAGTTTTGAGAAGAAAAAAAACCCCACATTTGCTAATAACAGCAAATCCAAACCTTGCAGAAAGAACATAACAGAAATACTCTTAAAATTCTGGCATCTAAGTAGGTTACCTAAGAGAAACTACAAGAACATGAGAAAACAAATTAATAAGTAAACACCGATCAGCCATGGACAACTGTAAAACAATGTAACCTTTCTGGAGGAGAGCAAGCGGCAGCGCTTCAAAACCTTCTTCAGGTAATGAGAGCATTTTAGAGGAGGCTCTCAACTTTATGCAGTAGTCATTTTAAATTTCATAATTAATTACACTTAGTCTTGTTCCAGTGTGAGCAAAATGTGGAAGCAATATATTTGAAATCACTGCAGAAATATTTTTATAGTAATCCTTTCTATTAAATTCCCTGGTGTCAAACATCAGGTCAGCTCCCTCCACCACCTTTTTCCCCACCTTCCACAAAAGGCATCTGCTTACAGCTGGATATGCAGATTTTCACAAGATATAAATGGTGAAAGAATGGACAAGGAGAAATAACTATTGTGGGACCAACTTGCACCACATACAACCAACAACCAGCCCTTTTTCATGCTCTGCGAATAAGTCAGTCTCTTAGATTATGTTACCAATCACATAATAGTCTATGAGTTATTTCTCATTCTCTCAATAGTTTATGCTGAAACGTCCCCAAAAATTCACATCTCAGAACTGTACAGTTCCATTATTTTAATTGATTAAATATAGATTAGCAGTGTTAGTGTAAGAAAAAAAGATTTAATGGCATCAAAATCCTTCAAATTAAATGAAGTAAGAAAATGCTGCAATGCACTTCAGCCAAACCGTCACAAATGATATGTTACATAAATACAGACACGAGGTAGCTGACAGCTACAAATCCACCAATTCTGGAAGCGTCAAATCTGTCTAAAAACCATAAACTGACAAATACTAATTAAACCTTTCCATTAAAAAAAGAGAACACCTAGTTTATTGCTTTCAAAGATTTGTTCTTTACATCAGACATAGGCAAAGGCGTATCAATGAAAGTTACCTGGCTGTTGATGGCTTTTGATTATATTCACTTTTTCAAAAGAAACACTAAATAAAAATTTGAATTCAAATATTTGACTCGCTCCCCATGTTACATGTTCTCACAAAAATGAACAAAGGCTTGTATTTTCCAAGGGGGAAAGAGGGACGGGAAAAGGTATCATTTCCAAAAGAATAGTATTAACTACTTTCTCATGAGAAATCGGTAAGAGAACTAAAATCACTGTTTGCACTGGACAGACTACATTGAGAAAACCAGACCAACTATTGCAGGAGAGACAGAAAGCACTCTAGCCACAAAGACAGTAGCGTCATGGCATATGATACATGGAATACAGATGGACATATGACGATCTGTACCACAGGTGTAATTTTTATTAAAGCTTCCTGAATTTCTTTACGTGTTTCAGAAAAGGCAAAAGTGGAACAGACAAGGAAGAAAAATAAATACAAGAAACATAAAAGAGGAAAAGATGCAAGAAAGCAAGAATCAAGGCAGTAACTGCAAAAGCAAGACAGAGGGCTAAGAAGTAAGACAGACTTCAGCAATGTGGTCCGAAAACTGCTCAGAGGTCAAGTACGCAAAATGAAAGTTATGCACATTTCTCAAAAGAATCTGGAGGGCATGTGGATAGGCAAGGGTTTCCTGGTTTTATTTTGGGGTTATTGTTGTCTTTTTTTCAAATATATGTATATGTACACACACACAGCGTGCAAGCTTGTCTAAAGAGGTGATAGTATAGATGGAAGAACTTACTCCCTGCAACAAATAGAATATCTTGACCTCTCAAGCAAATTAAGCATACAAAAGCGGTAAGAATAAAAGGTGCACGTAAAACCAGCAGCAATATTATGTTTGGCTTTCCACTGCTTCTGCAAGTTACTGTACATATATTACATCACTATTATAGAAATGGCACAGCCTCAGACACTTTCCACATTTTATTTACATTTTAAGACTAACTTTAATCTCAATCACATATCCATACATTTCCTTTGTTTCACTAAAACTTAAATGCATGGTTTATTAGAACAAAGACTGTAAACAAATATTTACCATGTCCGATACATGTAACACACAGGAGCTGCTTAACAGAAATTAATCCCCCCCCATTTTATAAATACAGGTATCAAAACAATCCTGAACATACTTTGTGACACTACTAGTAGTCGGCACCCACACCCTTGCAAAATTAAACAGGATGAGCAACGGTATTCACTGTACCTGCTACTTTAAAACAAATTTAACTGCAGCTCTTTTACTAAGCAAGATGGATAAAGCATGCCATTTATATTTTGCCTTCTCAAGAGATTATTTTCAGAAACATATATTATTCCACAGCAACCTGACACTTTCTGTCATGCTTTCATCTTGTAAAACCTGAATTCCAATTTTAGGCTACTTCAGGCTTATGCTTAAATGCAGTGCCTCAGTAAGAGAAAAAAATAATTGTGCTGCCTTTTTCTCCCATAGTGCCTGAAAACATATTGGGCATACATATATTATATATATTCTTACAAATGTCCAGGTCATGTATACCAGCTGAAATTCTTTTAATGTGTGGGTGTTTGCATTGTGAGATTTAATCAAGACATTAACATGAGTAGAAGGTTGTTGTTTTAAGACAGAAGTTTGAGAATCAGCTAAAATTAATTGTTGTAAGTTTGTCCCTCTGGAGGTTGTGGAAGCTTCATATTTTCTTTGGACATCATTAGACGTCTTAGCTCTTGAAGTACAACTTTAATGCTATAAGAATTTTGCCATTTTGCTAACACTGGTATGGTCCGTGCATCCACCTGGAAAAAGAAGAGAGAGTTGTAAGTTATGATGAAATGAAACATCTCTGCATAAATAACTGCTATTAACTTAATTGTTCTAAGAAAGGGCCTAAGCATTCCCTGACACTTTTTCTGTGGCATAAAGTCCCTGTGTTCATAATATAGTTTAAGGAAAACAATCATATACTTACACACAGATACAGATTCTGTAATAAAATCCATGCAGGTGGACCCTTCCATCTGCGCTGATACTAATATTAGTGAGAAGGAAAGGGGTGGGGGGAGAGGAAGACATCAGCCAACTTTTCACTGCAAAACTGGAGCCGTAACTTGTAAAATACATTAATTTGTTTCAAATTATCCCCCAAAAAAGAAAAAAGTAATCGCCTTCATTATGCCAATATATACACTTGGGTTTTCCTCAGTTCTTTAAAAGAACCTGTCACACAGGAGTCCATAGCATACCTTTCTAAAGGAAAACTTCTCTTGTTTTTCCCTTGCTACAAGTATCATCAGTGATTTACTTCATATCAATATTACATGATGCTTCTGATACATTAAGAGTCACTACATACACTAAGAAATGGCTTGAAATACTGGGATAACTGTTTCATAATGTTTGGACACATCTTAGTTCTTTGCATCCTTCTTACAGTAAGTCATCTTACGGAGCTGTGAAGATTACTGTACATCACTTACCAATTTGAATATGAACTGAAAGGAAAGGACATGGGACTTCTCCTATGCGTTTATAAAACCTGTGGGACAATTTACACAATTATATTATAACAGGGAGTTTTCCATAGAAAAATTAGCAACTGAAAGTCAGCTTGGGAACTGTTTTTGGCAGCAGGTAACTCCTGGCCACCCAGCCCCTGCAAGGAGGAACTTAAAAAGACAAAGGGAGCTACAGCTGTACAACTGCAAAGAAGGCCCATGGGCAGGAATAGGGCTATTGCATGCTACTAAACTTCACTGGCAGAGTAGCACAAGCAGCCCACACAGGTATAAAAGTGCTGGAAACCACTGCTTTATGATTTAGTCAGCACAAAACAAGAAGTTTCTTATCCCATCTTATTTAGGGCAAACAAAGAAAAAACAACACTGGAACCAGAAACATGAACATTAACACAGATGGTTTATTTCTAGATTGTTTGAAGTGAGGCTGTCTATTTTCAGAACAACAAATGAGACTAAACCTTTTTGTAGGAGGAAACAGGCCAAGGTTTAACAACATGCTGACTTGGGCAGCAATACTAACCCAAGAGACTTCTGCTCCCCCTCACTAGGCACTTGTTCCTTTAACAGCCCTACTGCTTATCAGCTCAGGTGAACCATGAAATCTATGTGGATCTACTTTCTGACCTGAACTGATAGAACCCACCAAGTTCAAAACCCAAAACAGAAACAAGAACACCTTGGAAAGAAGTCCCTTATCAGGATCTTTCATCCAATTCACATCTCAGCATTATAAGCATTTCTCTTCACGCAAATAATGCTCTGCTCAGAGCTGGGAGCCCCTTTAAGTCAGTATAGTTGCCAAAGACTGCCTAACATCAAAGCACAGTACAAAAGGCAGTCAGATTATTTAATAATTACTGCAAACATTAATAAATTAGGAAGGAAAAAAAAGCATCAGAAGAAAAGCTCCATTACGCAGCAAAATTGTGCCAGTTTAAAATACACGAGTGTATGAGGCAATACAGAAAGGTTTTGAAAGTAACACTAGTCATCACTCTAATTCCTGCACCACTACTACATTTTAAAACGTATTTGGTTTAATGTGGTAGATAAGAGGTAATGTCAGAAGAATAATCTTTGCAACTGGAAAACAGGTTCTCTTCTTAAAAAGCAGACTATTAGATAAAACCAGGAGTGAGTAAAAGGTAAATTCTGATAAAAGATCACCCACATTATCAAGTAGCAGCTTCAGTAACGCACCATTTAGCCTGAATCTTTGTTCTGAGGTACCAAGCTCTTAAAGAACTTTTCCTCTCCAATCCTTCTAGATAAGGTTAAAGAACACTCCAGCATTTCTATCCAACAAACTGGACCTAGCAAACTAAGGAAAACATTAATCCTTTTTGTAAGTTACAATAGTAAATATCACAGTACTCAAAATTGTCTTCCATATAGAAAATGCCAAGAGACATGTAGAGACAACCATTTTCTCTCATGGGATTCTACAGAAAGAAGAAAAACTTCATGGTGGTTAAGGATCATGATAACAAAAGCTATAAGGGTTCAGTTCTTATGTTCACTTAGCATAGAGCTGCAGATGTTTAAGAGCTTATTTTCTCCCTCTTACACACAGAAACACTTATTAACATTTGCTACTACTTCTCTGCAGCTAACCTGACATCCTCTTCAATTTGGCAAAATGTGTGAGTACCCCCTGAATGCTTTGGTAAATGTTCTTTGGCAGACCAGCAGTTTAGAAAATTTCCATGTTAATCAATCACAATACTTTCTGCTAAAGTAGCTGAGATCACATGTGTCACTGACCTGCCTAAACAAAACAAAAAAATCAATGTCTCCCTGAAAAAAACAGGGGGGAAAGAAGCCACAGTAAACGACTATCAAGGACCAGGTAATGGTTGCAACATAAGATTCCCAGCCAGGAAAGATGTGCACCTGGGGGTGGAAGCCCACATGATGATAAAATGGTTTAGAAGATCACTGGTAAACCAACATCGGTAAGAAGAAAAAAGTAGTTTTAGACTTCAGTAGGTTTGAGAAAGAAAACTAAGTTATCTGTTCAGACAAAGACTGCGTTAGTAAAAAAAACATCTGGAAAGGCAGTTGCTCTGGGACTCTTTCCTTCTCAACTTTGCCTTTGCAGGCCCTTTTAAGTTTGGAGATCTACCTCATTTACAGCACACAGCAGTCAGTCACAAGTGCTGTTCAAACAATGCAATTCTACATATACCAGCTGTACTTGGATGTGAGACATGATCACTTAAAAGTAAGCTCCTCCAGCTTTTCATTCTTAGCTGGGAAATTTCAACAGACTCACAGACTGTAAACTCTGTTTTAAGTGTTACAAATGTTTTCTGACTACAGACTGCTGCAACATGACATTTTTGTTGCTGTTTATCTCAAGTCCCTTTTCTGCAAGTCACCAACTTTTTTCATGACATCTTGCAGCAGCAAAGATTTTGGCTCAGGTTCTGTTTTGTGTGCAGAATTTATCTCCAAGTTAGTGCACAATAAATTCACTTTCTGCAGAAAAATGACAAAATATTTGGAAGAATGACACAAACTGTGTTCAAATCACAAAAGCATCGGGTAAGATTAAAGTACACATTCTGGAAAAATGGGAGAAATTTCAAGGCCACATAAAACCTAATTAAGCTGAAAACTGCAGCCTGTAGACTATCTTATTCTGGGGGTGCGCCACTGTAAATCCTTAACAACAGCAAGAGAAGCAACGTGTATAATTCTTATTTTTTTCTAAACAATTGAAATTATTTAATTTTACACAATGATGAAAAGTATTAAGTGTTTAGAACATTCCCAGTATCTTAACTTCAAGAAGTAGCAAACTGCTTAGTTTACAATAAGGATACTCAAGGCAATAGCTGAACAACAGTACACAGGTTTATAGCTGACAGAGTCTCAAGTCAGTTAAAAGAAACAAGTATTTCCAGCTGTGAATGGTATCTAAATGTACAGAAGTGATTGCAAATCCTGAAAGACAGACTAAAGAAGAGCCCTCATAAATGCAAAAATCAGACATGCTCAAAAGACCACAGGAAAATGAACAGCGTGTCAGAATGCAACTTGTGTTTATCAATACAGGATACACAAGCCCCCAAAAGGAAAGACCCTGCAGCACTAAAAATGATAAAATACAGTTTCACAATACCAATGCCATTAGCACATAAAGGCATTTTGTCCAGCACTGTGTAAGTGCTTGGACGGGTGGTACTCTAATTCTGTATACACATTAACTCTATAGCCAAATTGAAGAGCAGAAAAACCACAAAAACTAACCTGCAGAAAAGGAAGACAATTTAACAGGGTGACTCAGGGCACCTAAGTAGTCTTTTGAGATAAAAAACTGCTGAAGTAGCTCTCTCCTTTCCTGCACTAAATTTATCGAATAGTGACCTCTGGAATCCCTGACACGTGCTGCTGATGGAAACGTTACTTACAAGCCAAACTGCACTCTCAGAATAATCAAAGAGTCAATAAACTTGCAAGCATGAGTATCAATAAATTCATTGCACATGTGCAATTTCCATGCAAAGCATAAAGGGACTTGTAAGTCAAGAAGACTGAGAACCACTGCCAAGAGGGCAGTGTAAGACCAGCTTCCTTAGGACCCCTTGTAACTCTAGCACATATCCATCTCCCCCCTCCACTATTTATACTCCAACTCAACAGAAATTATCACCCTCTAAACTGATACTGGGGGCCCTGCTTTTCCTCAGGTGTTAACTAGCACACATCTCCTGTAAAGTGTACCTTAACAATGTTACAGATGTTTTGAGCAGTATGATAATATTGCTATGACATGATTTTGGCTGCTGTTTATCTCAGGACTCTCTTCTGCAAGCCACCAACCTTCTCATGACATCATAATCAACGCAATCAAAAGCTGGCCATACGTCAAAAAACAGGGTTCATGCAGAGGCATGGGTAGTAAAGCTTGTCTGAGAATGGAACATTATCATTCATTCAAATAACGCAGCAAACCGCTTGTGATCTATTAAATGAAAGGCGAACAGAGAATGGGAGAGCAACTTGAAAGAAATAAGAAGGCATTAAAACAGGAAGCAGCAAAATGAACTATTCCAAAATGCTGAACGTGTCCCCAGTTTATCTGACAGATTCTAGTGAGCACAACAGCGCTCACTAAATAAGCTAAAACGCGAGACACCGGGACAATGGGCACATTAAAAATTACATAATAAGTGTGTTTAAAATTCAGTAGTTATGAAAACTGTTTTCATTAAATATATTATCTAGTCCTATTTGAAGCCATTTACAAAATAAGCTACGCCTCTGCGTAGCAAAACCTTCATAAAACATTAGTTTACAGAACTGTTGGGGAAAAACTGAATGAAGGTTTTGCATGAGCTTATAATCTTATTAAAATCAAATTTTCCTGTAGCAATGACTGGATTTTAACACTGCTTTTAAAAACACCAGGTCGATTTCCTGTCACCCTGTTCCTCAGCAAACTGAGGGAGTGTACCCTTCTCCAAACAGAAGACAAAGTCAACTGGCTTGGTAAACATAAGCCTACAAGGCTCTGTAGGTCTGAGGTTCTGCTTCTGGAAGCCAGCACCTATGCTCTCAGACATGCATAGATGAAGCAGCAACAGCATAATTCTTTACTGATTCAGAATCATTTGACTCACCTCTAAGGATTACCTTAATTCAATTACTTTGTGTTCAGTAAAGACAAACGTACATTCAGACAAGTGTAATATATTACTGTATTTCCTGCTAATATACACATATACCACTGTAAATGCAAAACAGCTCATGCCTCTTCACTGAGCCATCTGGTACCTCAGACCTACTCACAGGATTTGCACCTCTCCTATGAGAACAGGCTGAGAGAGTTGGGGCTGTTCAGCCTGAAGAGAAGGCTCTGGAGAGACTTTAGAGCAGCTTCCAGTGCCTAAAGGGGGACTGACAATAAATCTGGAAAGCGACTTCTTGCAAGAGCATGTAGGGACAGGACAAGTGGGAATGGCTTTAAGCTGAAAGAGGGAAGAATTAGATTAGATATTAGGAAGAATTTCTTTATTGTGAGGGTAGTGAGACACTGGAACAGGCTGCCCAGAGACACTGTGGCTGCTCCATCCCTGGCAGTGTTCAAGGCCTGACTGGATGGGGCTTTGAGCAACCAGGTCTACTGGAACATGTCCCTGCCCATGACAGGGGCAATAGAACTAAATGAGCTTTAAAGTCCCTTCCAACCCAAACCATTTTATGATTCCATGATTAAAGTACCTACTGAATAACGGCATAACAAACTTGCTTGAGCTGCTGCCATTGCTCATGTATGTGAACTCATCACACCGTAAGTGTGGAATCAATGAAAGTAACTTAGTGCAAATTGATATTTAAAATAAAAGTGATTACCATCTGTATCAAAAGATTTTAACGCTGAAGCTCAAAGTCACCTTGGATTTGAATAAACCCAGTACAAAGAAAATAAGAGTTTAAATACACTGGTTCATTACAGATAAATTACTACATCCTGAGTGAGACTCATTATAAATAACCTCCATTTTTAACTAACAGAAACATCAGATAAAGTCTGTAATAATCCCGTTACGGTATGAACCTAATCCCCTTTTATGAGTGTATTACAAAGGAAATACCTACACACAACCATTCTTTTCCTGTTCAAAAATAAAATCTTCAGCTTCATTTAAAATAAACTGGTTTAATACTACAAATAATGTTTGTCCCACTGATAAGCCACTAAGAACCACTAATATACTGTAAATAAAGATGTGAAATAGCAGTCAACCTATTTTTTTTAATCGACGACAGTACTTATACTGTAAAATTTAAATATGAAAGCTCTGTCCAACACGCATATTCCTCATTTGGGTTTTTCACAGAATATATAACACAGATCAGTAACATGGTTGATCTTACCATTTCAACTTACCATTCCATTGGAATTATTTATTCCATTCATATTAATTTTAGTTACAAATCTAACTGTAGGAGGTGCTTCTGGATATTTAGGTCCACACTCTACTTTCAGACTGTATATTCTGTTTTCATAGTTTGTCTAGAAAGCAAAAAGACAGACTAATGCATCTTACTGAAAGCTGAATAAATATTAAAAAACCCATAAACAAAATAAAACAAAGACAAGAGGAATATAGATTAAGAAATATGAAATAATTATAAATCTGTTAATATTATGTACCAACTGATGGTCTTGGATTACTGATCGATATTTCACTGGTTTAGTTATACTGATTACTTGATGAGTATGTATAAGCTACATTACTTACTGACTATACCATACAAAAGTTTAATACAATTCTTCTTTCAATTCACATTAACTCTTCCCTTTTCCAGGCACCTGCATTCCCAAAACAACTTTGGGACAGAGGGAGCTGAAAGAAATTCAATAATCTTTAGGAAAATTACTGCCTTACCCTGTAAAAAAAGTATGTAACACTGCAAAGAACTGGAAATGGAGAAAGACAAAGATGTTAATAACCCAAAAGTTAAGACACAACCAAGAACAAGATGAAAATAGTATTTGCAAAAAACATGTTCTGGAAGTAGTTAACACTCCAGAAGGTGTCTAAGACTTCCATAGCTGAGGACTGCTTGGTTTATTAAACAATTTATGAACTTTGGACAGTGAAGTGATAACTAGTTTGCAGAGATGTCACCCCAGAGTGACCATGGAAGAGATCATTCTAAATACAAATACATTGTGAGAAAGTCCAATTAGAAATTAATACAGTTCTATCTTCTTTTAATCTTTTCAAGCAGGCCATGCACAATAAAAAGTATCAGTGGCTTTGCCAGTCATTGCTTCTCTGTTCCAAAGAGAAGATAAACCCAGTTTCTACACCTTTCAACTGGCACAACAGATACAGCTAATGCAAACCAACAGTAGTAATACACCTGTAACTTTCCAGAAGCACTATTTCTACGCTGTTCTGCATCGGCCAGCTGTCATTTCTCCAAGTAGAAGTATCGACCACACAGTCAAGTTAGTCCACTCTGTGGTCAGTTTAAAAGGCAGAGTGGAAATCAGACTACGGAAGCACTCTGTGTCCTACAGTTTCAAGGAGCCACACAGACTGAGCAGCAAATGGGTCAGAAAGAAACAAGGCAACGCAGGACATCCTTTATTAGAAAAATGGTTTTCTATTATCCTTTCCCGTTAAAGGCTGAAGGCTCAGTTAAGTAATCTTGTCCTGCTACAGGTAACATAACTGCTACTACAACAAGAAAACACAGTAACAAAAATTCTCATTACTCACTCAGATAAAACCATTCACTTGCACACAGAGGGATGCTGTCAGTTACAGTAGAAATAGGCCAAAATGTAAATACACTGCTCACAACTCTGAAAAAGCCTAAGGAATAGCACTCCTCCTCACTCCCTTCCTTCCTACCTGTGTGTCTCCTCAATTTTGCTCAGTTTTTCAAGTCACTGTTTTACTGCCAGCCAACCCTCCCAGGCCAATTCCCCCAAAAAATCATTTCTGGGGTATAAGGAAGAGGGGTGGGTATTAAAGATTTTTCCTTTAATCCAAAACAAATCTTCCCTTCCTCCCTCCACACTGGTTCAATGAAGCAAAAACACTAAACAAAGCCTTGGGTGGCATGGTTTAGTGTGAGGTGTCCCTGCCCATGGCAGGGGGGGGTTGAGTTAGATGATCTTAAGGTCCTTTCCCAACCCTAACTATTATATGATTCTATGCAAGAGAAAAAAAATTATAGGGAACCTTCGCACAGCTCTAAAGAAGCCACGTATGTAAAGAACTTCATGCTGTGGACAGCATTAGCGACTTTCTCTGTGTTCTCCCTAACTGCACGCTGCCTATACAACTCAGCCAATTCCAAAACCACACACCTTCTACAAACCCTGAAACTGGATATGCAATTCTTCTCAAGGTGCCATTACTGGCTTTGGAGCTGGTGGCCTTAACTTTATACAATGATTGCATACTGCAACACATTTTATTAGCAGACTGCAAGTCTCTGAAATGACCCAAAATATTACTTGCATGCACTCTTTCATAAAAAGCAAATAAAATGACAGCAATATAAATAGGCTAGAATTAAAAAGTATCCCAGGTTGGTTGAGGATTTTTAAAAATGTATGGGATGCTACGTGATGATCACACCCTTCAAAGACATATTAGGCATCTGCCTTAGGCTGAACCAAAAACAAGTCACAGGCAGTTCTAAAGGCTCTTTGGAAAGTCAAGGAGACACTACCCGGGTCACATTTGAAAATCCTTCTCAAACCCCACAAAGCATTACACTTACATCTGAAACTGGTTCTCTCTCAAATGCACCCAAATTTTAGGAGCTCAGCACAATTATGCAGATGTTCAAAACAGTCTGCTGCCAGCTGCAACTCTGACTTCCACAAGGAGCTTGAATTACACTGAATCTAGAACTCTCTTATTGTGAAAGACATTATCTGAGGCTAAGATCTGATCTCTGTTCTTGTCTTGGATAGTTCTTTCAATATGCCTTGCAGCACTGAAGGACATACAGCACAGAAACCTCAAATTAGCAGTGAAAGACATAAGCTAATTTTGAGCTACGTGAAATATACTCATTTAAAATTCTCACTTAAACCGTGATCTTTTGTATCACATATTGTAACTCATGAGAAAGCGTACACAAAAGTCAAGTGTACATTCATCTCTGATGAGGCAGATACTCAAGCCACAAGAGATGATCACTTCTCTTGCAGGTTTTACCAGTCTAGGTAACATCCTACAGAACTTAAAAGGTCAGAAGGGAATGAACTTTGTGTACATATTTCATCTCATTAGAGGCAATTAAAAACTGCTTGGTCTTTAGGCATGATTCAACTGAAATGCAAAAACTGCTAGACTGAAAGACTATTTAATAAAACTTGTTAAAGTTCAAAATATATTGCCAGTTTACTACAGAACTGAAACCACTAGGCACACAGGATAAACTGGAAAGACAGTTACCCTGTTTACTGTACTATTATTGTACACTTACATTAAATAATGGTAGAAACACAGACTGAATATATTCTTAACTCAGTAAGAAGTCTCAAATCACAAATGGTTCATACAGACAGCTGCAGAAACATGTACCATGGGAGGCTAGACTGAAAACACTAACACGTCAGGAAGTGATGAACTCTAACATGAATATACAGTGTTTCTACAACTTCATACATTGAATTTTAACTGATTTCTTTACACTGTATAAAAAGTGACTTTTTTTTTTTTCATTTTGTATTGCCTACAAACTTAAAACCATTTTGATTCATGACACTCACCCTCGGTGGCCCAATAATCATTCCTGTCCATCTGGTGAGTGTCATATCTTCATCATCTTCAAGGCCCCAGCTTACTGTACCATCACCTACTCCTTTCTGCCCTTCTTCAAGTTCTTCCAACAAGCGAAAATTACGAGGTACTTTAACTATAGAAAAGGGAAGAATGTAATTAATACTGCTCACATTAAGGAAAAAGTAAGCCATTTCAATGCTTTTATATGTTATGCACTAGCAAATGTTAAATATACTTTCAAAGCAGAACAAATACTTCTTGCTAATTTATGTACCACTCAAATTGTTTTGAGGCAACTAATCACTCCACCAGAAGCTCGTTGCTACCAAGTGACAGCAATACAAACTATAAAAAAGAAAACAAGAAAGCTCTCCTTAGTTTGCGATGGCTAAATTCCAATTCTTTTTCCTAAGCTCAGTGCTGTTTAAAGTCAGTACATTTCAAAGTCAATACACTGTCTGTCAAGTTCTCAACTAAAATCCACATAAAATTGATATAGCAAATTGCCTCCAAAAGTGAAGAATGCAACATTTAGCACAAATTATCTTAATAAATGTAAACTGTAAGAGAAATATTGGAACATTTTCACTTGATTTCACTTGATTTAAAAAAAACCTTTAATATATGAAAACAAATTAAAAATCAAGTCTTTTCAAACTAGAGATTATTATTCCCACTTAACAGAGAAAAAAAAGGCACAGAAACACTGATTAAGCTGTAAAAAGAGATAATGACATATTCACAACAAAATGTGAAGATGCACTGCCTCTAATGAGAGTCAAGTAATACTCACTTACTGAACTTTAATTATTGGATTTTGATTATTATACATGAAAACAGACAGATATTGATAGGTATTAAGCAAGTGGATGCTTAACTGCTTTGTAGCACAGAAGCTAAAATGGTATTTCAGCACTGATGAGGGGAACAAAGCTAATCAACACTTGTACATGCCATCACGGTATGTGTTTATTTTCAAATAAAATACGCACAATGATGTAGTAACAATATCACAATACAATAAAACTTCCACCTTCTTATAGCTGCTTAGAGTTACAGTGTTTTCCATTACTTTTACTAGAGATTCTTTCTCATACAGGTAGTCTAGAAAACTAAAACTCTAAGACTGGGTACATACAAAGTTGTTAGCAAGGAATACACACTATGCAAGTTTGAAAATGACACGGGGTTAGGCTGTCAAAGAAAAATGTTTTTCTTAACAGTTACTTAGCCACTGAGATTTCATTCATAGTCACCTGGGTATTACATTACCCTAGTCTGCATTCCAAGCTGTCTCTATGCAAAAAAAATAAGTCCAATATTATACAATATGATTATTTAGTGAATAGATATGCATATAGACCAGCATAGATAAACACACCCTTCAGCAACTACACAGATATCTTGCATAACTATGGTTTCTCTTACCTGTGCTAAAACTATTCATTTTTTTTTTTTAATAACACAGACAAGGGAGGGGCTCCTAAAAATTACAGAAGCAAATGCCTCCAAGTTCTCCATACTCGCAGAGAAAAGCATTGAGTATAGAATTAGGACAGACACCACAAGGAAATTAAATCAGTCATTTATGGTCTCACCTCCCTTCTGGCTTTGGTACTGCAACTCATCTGAGCCCATAATGAGCTACTTCAGCCTGCTAACTGAGCAGAAAATCACACATTTTGGTTAGTCTCCTGACAGCTTAACAAACCAGCCCAGCTCACAGGGAGATCTGACAAGTATTAGCATGAAAGCGCAACCATGGCAGCAAAAATTCAGACAACTTCAGTGTAAAAATACAGTGTTTCTGTGGAGTTAAACTACTCAGGAAGCTTATCTTCACAGGTTAAGAGTTCACATATGACTGACTGAAAGTATTAGCACAGTACACAAACGAGCAGGTAACTTCTCAATACTTCAGAATAGATCTTTCTGAAAAAATTCATTGAAATTTATTTGCCCATTCGTCTGGTCCCATCCTGACTTGTTATTAACATTATATCTGTACATTTACGTATCTATGTATACCAGGAAAAGGGTAATGCTTATCTTTAAAACAAACAAAAATTTAAACCAGCAGGATAAACTTCTGCTAAATGTCGTTTTGCATTATATGACTGAGTAGCTTCTCACTGGTACCTGGAGCCTTAAACAAAATAAACCCACAAGCAACTCCCACCCCCAAAACCCCATGTATTTTGGCATCCAAACATTATGTTAAGACTTTTCCAGTGGCTTACAGCCACAGTTGCTCACCACCTACCAACTGATACCCAGCCCAGCCTGAGCAGTGATCTCGGCCTTCCGGGTAACTCCCACCAGTTTATATACTGCACATAAAGTGTTGTGGTATGGAATATCCTTTTGGCTAGTTTTGGTCAGGTGTCCAGTCTCTGCTCCCTCCCAGCTTCTCATGACCCTTCTCACTGGCAGAGCATGAGACTGAAAAGCCTTTGATCAGAGTAAGCAGTGCTCAGTAACAACTAAAACATACGTGCCTTACCAGCACTGCCCTCAGACTAAAGCCAAAACACAGCACTGCACCAGCTACTAGGAAGAAAATTAGTTCTATCCCAGGTGAAACCAAGACAAAACCGAACCAAAAAAAAAAAAAAAAAAAAAACAACAAACCAAACCCTTATCTTTATAATTTCAGTCTTAGAAGCTATCAGCAAAATGAACTGGAATTAAACACTCATGCTGTCCTGAATGCCCACTTGGGCACATTACTGCACTCCACATGTTTGCTTTGGTCGTGCCATAACCTTTACATAATACCTATCTAACTAGCTCGAAGAATGGAATACATTACAACATTGCACCTTCTTTCCAGTAAAACAATAGCAAGCACTTCTATGTAGAAGATCTGGTAACAGTGGTCTCGCTCTTCTGGAAATTAAGTCTGCTTCTAGTATAAGGTAAAGAAATCTTGTCCTTCTCACTATTTCATGTATTCCAGAATGCACAGTCTAAATTGTGTGTTAATGGTGTATAACACAACTTGCAGTTTTGTCTTTAATCCAGGCAACAAAATTCATCAAATATTTGCTAAAAACTCAGAAATATTCCTCAACAGAATCTGAGAAAGAATTAGTATTTCATTCACAGAATTCGGACAATGAAACAACATCCTTCTGTTTCAGTTTGCAGCTCATAAGCAACAGGAGATAACAGAAACCACCATCACTCTTCAGCTGACTACCAGACCTCAAGTGTACCTTCTGGAACAGGTAGTGGCAATTAAAAAGAGAAAAGCCTCTAGCTTTTCACCACCATGGGTCTGACAAATATTGTTCTATCTGGTTCCACTTGCTGATGAGACCACTAACCAGCTTCAGGTAAGTGCAGACAAGTTGTTTTTACTGCTTGTAGCAGGCACCCCCCAGCTAATACCTCACTCTTTCAAATGAATTAAAGCAGTCATTTGATTTTATCATTGGCAGAGCCATAGGAATGGCAAGCTCCACTCCACAGGCTGCGACTAACTGCTAGGTACAACACTGCATCCACCACAGCTATTCGCAAGGATGGACTAAGGCTCTCCATGTGAAAGTGTAGAAAGTATAGCTGGGTTCATCCAGATATAAACAAAAACAAAAACAAAACAAAACAAACAAACAAAAAATAAAAAGAAACAAAACACAACAAACCACAAACCAAACAAACAACAAAAACAAAACAAAAAAAAATGCAACCTGGCCCCAACCTCTTTTAAATTTATCTGCAAAGCTTACTTCACTATGAATTTTACTGACAAATACCTACCCAAAACCATACACAGGAACTGTCAAACAGCATTCACTAATTTTTCACAAAAAGCTGAAGTAAACGTATTTTACTTAAACGAACAGCACTTACTCATGCTTACATATAGTATTAGTTTTTAATTTGGAAGTTTAATTATTAAACTGGACTACAGAAGCTGGTACCTATTAGAAATACACAAAATTAACAGTGAATTTAATACCTTGGAACAATAAGAAAAGAATAAAAGCAGAATCAGCAAAGACTTAAATTGATCAGGAGGGTTTACTTTCATACACATGGAGCTACTTCAGACATCACATTCTAAACCACTGAATTAATAGAAACAAGCAGTACACTGTCCCACAGGACACATTAGAAATTACAGTTACGCTTTTATCCAGAATCTGCGTAACTTGAAAAAACATTAGAGAAAGAAAAAGAAATCTTCAGTATCCTTTAGCAGGACCAACAACTTTCACTGAAGCAATAAAGGGGAACTGCCCGGATGGACCTGCTCTTGCTAGTACATCAAGACACAGTTCCACAGTTGGCAATGCCAGATCACCCACTAGTAGAGATTCCATCAGCATCAAGACACAACTGCACTTACGTCAAATTTAACAGAGCACACTGATTATACTAAATCACATTTTTAAACAATTCACATGGACACAATCCTTCAGTTGAGTCCAAGCTCCCCACACATCAAACAATTATTTGCAATCTAACAGGAAAGAGTGGGATAACCTATGTTCTTCTACCTGTCAATTATAAAAAGGAGCCATAACCCTAATTTTTCATAGATTGGCTCAGACCCTGAAGTGTGAGGCTTTCTGTTATATTATAAAAATAGTTTCAGACAACTGTCTATTACAATATCCATACCAACATACCAACATTCAGTTTCTCTTAAAATCTTTCTTAGCTCTTGGCTTGAATCATTCCTGAAAGTTATACCCATACAAGGAGTCCCATACTGCCAGCACAAACCCCAACACAGCCATGAAAACAAATCTTACTATGGACCCAACAACAAATTATATCAGTAAATTATACGTTAACACAGCTAAGATACTGTCAGGGATGCTATTCTTCCTGATTGAGATAGCTATGTCAGGAAAAGTCTGCAGTACAAACTACCAGGAACGTACGACTTACCTTTTGCCCACTTACTTCTGGCTAACAGAAACTGAAGAAATATCAATAGCTTGATGTGGTGGTTTACTCCCAGTCAGCACTAAGAAACTTAACCATATACCAGCCAAACCCACGACACTTGGTAACAAAAAGAAAGGCTCTCAAACCACAATTAACAGCTTCAGGCTAGCAAAAATGTTTTTAATTACAAGGAAGGGGGAAAGGATGTCAGCTTTGCAAATTTTAAGC